AAACTAGATGAATACATAGCCTATTAATGCTTTAAATATATATATATACACACACAGTGATAGATCTCTTAACGATGGGGATACGTACTGAGAAATGTGTTAGGTGATTTCATCACTGTATGATCATAGACTGTCCTTATACAAACCCTGATGATACAGTCTACTACACACTTAGACTACTAGGCTGACGCCACGGCACTCACTCTAGCCTGGACAACAAAGCGAGACTCTGTCTCAAAAAAAAAAAAAAAAGAAAAGAAAATTCAAGTACCTTGTAAAGGACTGTGGCTTCAATGTATACTAGGCATTTGTCTGTCTAGAAATAACACACATGTCTACATGCCTGCTAATATCAGAAGAAATTTTATTAATGATTCTTCTAATTTCAATTCCCAAGATTAAATGCAAGTTATCATTTGAAATAATGCCTCATCAGAAATTTTCCCAAAGCATATACATGTAAATATATGTAGATTAAGCATGTAAAAAATAAAAAAATTAAATTCAAAAATGTTTGTAAGATGCAAAATTTTCATCTGTTATGACTGACAATACTCTATAATCCAGGACAACTAAAAAACCAAACAAATGAAGTGTACTTAAAAGTATAAGTGAATATAACTTCATCAACCTCACTGACTAGCAGATCTTTCTTTCTGAAATATCAGCTATTAGCACATCAAGTCTCTGAACTAGATGAATACATAGCCTATTAAATGCTTTAAATATATATATACACACACACAGTGATAGATCTCTTAACAATGGGGATACGTATTGAGAAATGTGTTAGGTGATTTCATCACTGTATGATCATAGACTGTCCTTATACAAACCCTGATGATACAGTCTACTACACACTTAGACTATATAGATTTTTGCTCCTAGGCTACAAACCTATGGAGCATGTTACTATACTGAACACTATAGGCAACTGTAACACAATGGTAAGTATTTGTGTATCTAACCATAAAAAAAGGTACAGTAAAATACAGCATTATGCTATGCTCATTGCTGGTTATAAACTAAATTTTAAGAAGAAAAACTATGGTATTATAATTTTACAGGATCACCACAGCATGTGCAGTTTGTTGTGACCGGTATATCGTTAAGTGGCATGTGAGTGTATGTATATACACTCACACATATTTACATATTTCTGTTTATTGGACTGTTTGCTCTATGGAAATATAACATGGTTAACCTTATACAAGTCTCATTTCATTGAGGTAATGCAAAATCATTTTTTCCCCAAAAGGAAGCCCCTTAGATAATAATGTATCATTAATATAAAAACACTACCAAAGATGTATACAGAAAGTCAGTTACTTTAAGAATGCCTTGCTGTCTTTGTTATAAACCACATTTTAATCTGACAGAACTATTACATTATGGATTGCCCTTATTTACCTTGGACAGCTAAGCCTGCTAGCTGAATCGCTTGTTCTAATGTACAAGGAATGTTTCCTTCCAAGATATCTTTCTTCAGCTGCAGATAATACTGATACCTATATAAAAAAGTCAATTTTATAAAGTCAATATCAATATTATCTCCAATTGAGACACAATGCATTTTACCATAACTTGGTAGAGAAGCATAAACCAAATAAAACCTTAACCCCAGATGGTTTGGAAGAATGACAAGAATGTCCTTGACCATATCTACATTCCTGCTACCTCCACCCCCCCCACACACACATTAATCAATTTAGTGAGTCATTTATCCATAACTATACTTATTTCAAAACCATCCATAAGACAGCTGATCATCTGTCTCGTGCTCTGTATCAACTTTTCAATATAAAATGTTGTATACAAAAACTACACTATATAACTACATAATAAATTGGGTCATCCCATTTTGCATGATAGACATTCCAAATAATATGTGAAAAGGTAGCCTTCTTCTTCACCTGTTTTTCTTAGACTAGTAATAGATGGCCTATATGGGTACTGGCATTTTTAAAGTACTATTTTGGAAAATTTGAAACAGATGTACAGAGAATAAGTACCGTGACCCCATATCCTCATTATGCTGCCTCCATCAACCTTATGCCTACCATGTTTCCTCCTTCCCTCTCACCAGCGCCGCCGAGTGTTTTATAGCAAATCCCAGGTATCGTCGTATCTTATCACCTGTAAATACTTCAGTATGTATCCCTAAAAGGTAAGCTTTATTTTTAAGACAACTGCATTTAACATACCCAATAAAATGAGCAATATCTTCATACTACTTGATACCCAGTTCATGTACAATTTTCGATTATCTCAAAAATGCATTTTTACAGTTTTTTCCTAAAAAGATTAGGATCCAAGGGTCCAAAGAAGGTATACAGGTTACATTTGATGGATATTTGTAAACCTCTCTTGCTATAAAAAAGTTTCCTCCTCTTTATTTTCATGTTACTTATCTTTTGACAACATGTAGCCATTTGTCCTGTAGAATTTCCCACTTTCTGGATTTGTATGATTATACTCTCATGGGGTCATCTGACATATTCATATATTCTCCAATTTTTCCTGTGAACTAATCATTAAATCTAGAACAGTGTTGTCTGTTAGAACTTTCTGCAATGATAGAAATGATCTATCTCTGTGCTGTCCCACATGGGGTGACATGTGTCTACTAAGTACTTTTAATGTGGCTAGTGCAACTGAAAATCTAAATTTTCAGCTGTATTAATTTTTATTAATTTTAACTATAAATAGCTACATGTAACTAATGACTACCATATTGAACAGTGTGGACTTGGAGACTGGCTTAGATACTAGTTTAATTTCTTCAAGAATAATGAACCCATCAGTGGTGCTGGCTCTATCCTGATGCGTCACATCAGAAGTAACAATATTTGCTTGTCCCACTTATAGTGATGCAGACGTTGCCCACTGGGTTCAGATGATGTCACCCTGTTTCTTTTACCCAAAGGTTTGAGTAGCTATGATTGTTATCTAGACGCATTATTCCATTAGGAATTTTAAATGGTGATTTTCTATTCTACAATATCTCCTGCATTTATCTGGTGTGATTCTTCTATAAAAATCTTTTCCGCAACAAATGTTTGATTATCCCTTTAAACAGTTATAATGAAAAGAGGATAAATTTATTGCCATTCAGAATAACAAATTGGTACTCTAGCAAATTTCAAAGGTGACCAATGAGGCTTTTTAAATGTTAGTAATTCACAAATTTTAAAAAATATACTTGATGTGTTTTATTCTATGTAGTCATTATTCTTTATGACGTTCAAACTATCTTCTCTTTTGCAAGTAAAAACTCCAGACACCAGAGTGTTTGCACTCTCTGCCACGTGAGGACCCAGCCTAGAAGGTCTCCAAGCCAGAAAGAGCCCTCACCAGAACGCAACAAATCCTCAGACCTCCAAACTGTGAGAAAATATATCAGTTCATTAAGCCACCCAGTCAGATATGTTGTTATAGCAGCTCGAGCTAAGACGTATTCAAAGGTCATTTTTGCTGGATATATAATCATTGCCTCATATTTCCTTTCCTTGAGGATGTTAAAAGTTACTCTTTTGTCTGTTAGCATGAACTGTTCTTCTGAAAGTCTGATACCAACCTTATTTTCTTAATTTCATAAGTAACTTAGCGTTTCTGTCTAGACGCCCAATTTCCAGTGATTTTGCAGACCATGTTTTGGTATTGATTGCTCTAGGTTTACGATCCCAGATACACAGTATGCCTTTTCAATATAGAGCATCAAGTCATCTTTTTTCAAGAAAGTTTTTAGAATGTTGTATGATTAAGAATGTAGAATTTATTAAATAGTTTTTAGAATGTGTTCGTTCGTTGCCAATGTTTTGGCTTTCTCCATTAGGGAATCCTATTACACGTATTTTTGATTTTTGATCTTTTCTTCTATATTTATACTATAGTTTTATAATTTCTATCACTTTAAAATTTATCTCTAATTCTTTTCTCAGCTCTTTACTTTCATGTTCACCTACTGCATAGCCAAATTATTCCAAAGCTTTTCTAATTCAGATTTAAATGGTTCTTTCATAATCATGTTATTCTCTTAATTTGCTTTAGTTCATTTTATAATATTGGCTGGCAGGTTTCTGCTGCTTTGTGGCCATATTTTTCTGACAAGTCTTCACTTTCTGAAGATATGTTATTCAGATTGTTATTTTCTTAAAATATCTTTGAATGGTTTTATAGCTGCATTTTTTAGGTTATCATTGAGATACATAAACTGCTCTAATTTAAAGTATATAATTTTGACACATGAATATATTTTTTTGAGACAGATCTCCCTTGGTTCCAGGCTAGAGTGAGTGCCGTGGCGTCAGCCTAGCTCACAGCAACCTCAAACTCCTGGGCTCAAGCATCTCCTGCCTCAGCCTCCAGAGTAGCTGGGACACAGGCATGCGCCACCATGCCCGCTAATTTTTCTATATAATAGTGGCCAATTAATTCTTCTATTTATAGTAGAGACGAGGTCTCACTCTTGCTCAGGCTGGTTCGAACTCTGACCTTGAGCAATCCGCCGTCTCGGCCTCCCAGAGAGCTAGGATTACAGGCATGAGCCACCACGCCCGCCGGTGATTTAATCTTTGATCTTTCTACAGTTCTTGGAAGAACTTGTATATAGTAAATGTTCAGAATATCCATGCATATGTGATGACTCGAGTGGCAACTAAGAAACAGGAGAATATTCGTTCTTTTCCTTAAACAGAATTTTACTGAACTCACAGTATTCTAGGAGTTGTGGATATAAAGGAAATTGACACACATTCCTTACTTTTGTTGAATTATTTGATAGACTCATTTTAAAGGTATAGTTCTTCTCATGTAAAAAATTATAAGAAGGCTGGCTGCGGTGCTCACGCCCGTAATCCTAGCACTCTGGGAGGCCGAGTGGGCGGATTGCCTGAGGTCAGGAGTTCGAAACCAGCCTGAGACAAGAGTGAGACCCCGTCTCTCCTATAAATAGAAAGAAATGAATTGGCCAACTAATATATATAGAAAAATGAGCCGCATTGTGCGCATGCCTGTAGTCCCAGCACTCAGGAGGCTGAGGCAGTAGGATGCTTGAGCCAGGAGTTTGTGGTTGCTGGGAGCTAGGCTGACGCCACGGCACTCACTCTAGCCTGGGCAAAAGAGAGACTCTGTCTCAAAAAAAAAAAAAAAAACTATATATATGATGATAAAATTAATATTGAGAATAGTTTGTATAATCTTTCCTTGCAAATTAAAATTAATATTTTTTATTTGAGGATTAACTGGTC